TACTCCATTTCTATATAAGATGCTCCATACCATCATTCTCATATAGATCTGGTATTATATGAAGGTTCTTCATATAACATCTTAGAGGTTGACTGCTAAAACTATAGAAGTTTTTACCTCTTATTTTAAAGAACTGTGAATCTAGTTAGTATCTTTTATCAAGTAACACAGGCTTGAGAGAAAATACTGCAGCCAAGAAAGAAAGTGCACTCCTGAAAGGGGCATGAAGAGAAAATTTTATGGTAATTAAAATGGTTATGCAGAACATTAAAATTCTGCATAGATTTGCATATTTCCTACCACCTGTTTTGGGGACTACAGCAAAGGCTAATTAACATAAAAGCTCTGATTAATTCTGCCAGTCATTGAAAGATAATTACAGTGCAGGATTGTAAACATTCTGCATTGGAGATAGAGCCTGTTTGCCAACATCTCTCTAAGGGATGAAAGTTTACCATGGCAACCCAGGCAATTTTCTGCTTCTTCTCCCTCAGAAAGGAAGATCATATTATCTCTTTTTCTTTTCTCTCCTTGTTTCTGTGTGTTACTGGACCATATTCCACTGGGTTTCAAGGAATGCTCAACCTGAGGTCTTCAGTCATTAGCAACACTGGAATCAATCTTTCAGAATACTGTTTTCCCCTCAACTGTTAGTTACCTAAACACTATAAAGAAAAGAAGCAACATGTTGATAGAAATGTTATGGAGTAATGCATAATACTTGAACTTTGCATGTTTTGCCATATGGTTCATGGAAGCCAAATACATTGCTAGATTTAAGTTTTGTTTTAAATTTTTGGTGTCTATCACCAATGTCTATAAGCAGGCTTACTTAAAATTTTAGAAGCATAACATCTTACAGTGGAGCAGAACTCTGGCAATCTTACACATGTCCCCACTTAAATATAAATAAGACAACTTGAGCCCCAGGAGATTAAGTGACTCACAACAGGTCACATAACTAGTTAGTGACAGAATGAGAACACAAACCTAAGAACCCCATATTTTTCAGTCCATTGTTCTTTCATCTAAACTATAATGCTTCCCCAAGACATGAAAGATGACAAATAACAAATAACAAGATCTTTGGAAACAAAAGGGAATTTAAGAAATTATTTGATTTTTTGAAAGTTATACGTTTTAGCTGCGTTAACTTAGAAATGTAGTGAATACATATTAAACATTGAAAGTGGACTTTGCTTGTAAATCGCCTTGGTTAATACACAGAGCAGAATACAAAATAATCCTCACATTTACAGAACACAAAGCAATTTCCAGTAATGGTAATAATTACTAATTTGATTTTTATGAGATTTGGTAATAAAATATTAATATTAATAAAATAATAGTAATCTTAGGAATTTCCTATTATAAAATTATTTTGTGCCCATTAAAACAAACTATAGAGGAAAAAAAAGGAAAAATTAATCCATCATCTTATGTTCTAGCTTACCTGTACATTTAAAGACTGAGCAGCAGCCTGTAAACTTGTTCCAGCGAGCTGGACCTATGAGAAAATTGGGCAACCATAATCCAGTAGTGTTGACATTTGTCCCTAGAATTTGATATCAAACAAATACTGCAAGAACCTCTAAGTGTATATTACTGAATACAACTGAAAACATAAAGACTTATCTTATTGCGTTAGAATTTCATTGACAAATGCAGTGTCTTCCCCACCTTAATTAAGTGCTGAAGATGTTTTTCTATACTAAGTAGACATCACTGAGGCAGGCCATGCTTGTGGTCTTCCACATTATTTAACATTCTTGTCTGTATTCATAGGGTACTTAGATTTTAAAAACTTAATCGATCACCTATACCATGTTAAAGAACACAGTTATCTCTGTATATTATTTTTGTCATTTCAAACAATTAGAATAATCTTATTTCAAATTTCCCATGATGTACCAGAGCAATGACCTTACGTAGAAACAGACCCACACAAGAATTCATTAAAACATTAGCTAAAATTAAAAATATGTCCTAGGAGCTAATATGAAAATTTGTTGTAATATTTAATATTTACAGGTCTCCAGTAATGAGACATGTGCCTTCTGTTATAATGAACTGTGATGACCACAATACAAAGTTATTTCTGTTATATTCCTACCATAAGTGGAGAACCTGAATATAATCATGGATTTAACATCAGACAAACCCAAATTGGGGAACACCACAAAGTAACTGCTTTGTACTACTCCAAAAATTGAGTACTAGACAATTAACTAGGGTAGAAGAAATGTAAGCCTAACTTAGCCTAGTAGCAGTAGGAGTAAAATGTAAGAAACATGAAATGTATTGGACAGTAAGACATAAGCATTCACAATGCTTGTGGCAAATGATGATATAGATAAAAAAAGTTATAAATTATTCCAGGGTTCAAATCTGAAACTAAAAAGTGGTAATGTCCTCAACAAGGAATATAATGAGTTCCATTTTGAATACACATCATACGGCAGTAAGACATCCTAAGGTTAAATATAAATGTTGGTATGAAACTCAGTAGAGTTAAGAACTATGTCCTTTATTTGAAGTGGATAATTTTGTAAGTAGATAAGAAGCTCATGCCCAAAGAAAAGAATAACAAAACAAAAGACCCAGGATTTATGGAGACTATATTTTAAATATAATTTAATAAATGTAGTATAATCTAACGTGATAATATGTTTAAATTAAGACTTAGGGGCTGGTGAGATGGTTCAGTGGTCTAAAGCACCTATTTAGAACAAGCTCAGCAAAGCACAGAGACCGCAGTTCAATCCCCCAGCACCACATGCCAGCCAGCCCTGCCCCCTGGTGGGCTGAGCTGGCCACACACACACACACAAA